AGAGAGGTGAGGTTGGCCAAGCCCATGGGTCCCACTGGTCTGCCACGGGGGACATGTCTGCAAGACCTGGGGCATGAGAAGGGAGGGATCATGAGCCCCTCAACCCCTTGAGTACCTTTGGTTGGATAACAGGAAACCAGAAGCAAAGGAAGAAGTGCTGCAAGCCCCTCCTTCGCACATCTACCAGTGTTTGGGATGTGGTAGCTGGGCACACTCAAGAAAGGGGACCCAGTGTGGCTGGTTTTGAAAAGGTCTGGACTTAAGCCTGAGTTCACGTCTCTCATGCACTGAGCTCCCTTGACTTGCTGCAAAGGGGTGTCTGTGCCTGCTGGTGTTAGGACAACAGCTCTGTGTTTCTCTGTGGGCGGCACTGGAGAATTGCTCAGAGAAGAAGCGGTGAGGATGGGGGGCATCAGCCGTGGCCAACCCAGGGATAATCTTGCAAGATGTAAGCAATGGAGCATCCCCATTGAAACCAGTCTCTCTTCCTCTTAAATGGACTAGAAATGGAGAACAATTGAGGGCTTAAACAATCAGATATGTGAAGAGAGACAGATCTGGTCCTGCCAGGCACCCCAAGGAAGGTGGTGGTGAGGCATTGTTGGGCTCAGAGGCCAGAGCAAGCTCTCAGAGAGAGAAGCAGCAGCAGTCACTGCAAAAAGCCTTTGAGAACAGTTCATATGCCAATTCTGTTCTTTCCAGTGCAACACGTGCATTTTATAAAGGCTGTGCCCTGGGCAGCTCCTAGGACCCATGTTACAATTCATGCTAAACACACATCACTTCCAGCTTTCCCACACTGCAGGTGGAGCTGATGCTCTCCTGTTTGTATGTGGGAGACAAACACATCTCACGTACAAGCAAATATTTACCCAGTATCTCCTCTGGGTAGTCCCCCTGGGACCTGGCACTTTGCACCTCACAGATTTTCCCATCACTGCTGGGTTCGGTTATTAGACGGGTGATATAATTTCCTGCCCTCCTTGTTCTCAATTCTTTAGCCCAGACGTGTTAGCTGGATCACCAGCAGGCATAAATCAATAGAGCTCTGCCAAAATCAGATTTACAGCTGGTGCCAGTGTCACCCACAGCATTAGCTGCTGCTCTGTGTCTGGGAAATGAATGTTTTATGGCCATGGAAAGCCTGTTCCTGACTGCAGAGCATGTGCTGCAACCGAGCTCCTCTTGGAGCCCAGTGCTATGGCTCTGGGCTCAGCCACAGCTCACCCCAGTTGGCACTCATGGCAAGGCAGAAGGAGCAACTTTTCCAGATAAGCACTCAGATCACCCTTAACAGATCCCACATAGACCTTCAGATTGCCTTCACTACCTCTTATCAGAGGCTGGATCTGTTCCCTCCACTCCTCCATCACAGGGCTGGGACACTCCTGCTCCAGCATGCTGAAGCTGAACTTTACCAACACTATTCAGGGTGGGTTACTCAGTCTTGCTGAAAAGCTTCATTCCCCCTTTTCTGCTTACTGAAGGGTTTGTATCTTTGCACAGCCAAGGAATCCCATCAGAAAGTTATTTGATCTTTTTCCATAATGGCAATCGGCAGCTGTCTCACTCATCGCTGCCAAGCAGTGATGTGATTTCAGCTTTGATCAGCCTTTGCTGCTTTCTCCTTCATCTAAAAGCACCATTTGGGAGTCTCTCTGTAAAAGTATTCACTTTTTTTTTAACGTAACTACTGATTATGATCAGGATAAACGTGGAAGTGAATCGAGGAACAGGCTGTCCGTTGGCCAGACACTGGATATTCTTTTACATCAGTGCAGCACAGTGATAAACGGGTACTAAACCTCGCTGACTGTGTTCAATCGCATTTTGCCCGCAGTTTGTCAGGGACAACGGGCGCAGAGCAGTGGAGAACCAGGCTGGGTGTGGGGATTGTTTCCTGGTGAGACTCGTCATTACGTAGTGCAAAATGAGGAGCAGCACTTTGGGCCCTTGCTCACGTCCCAGTTGAGAGGACGAGCCCCACCCCGTCAGTGTCCACCACCGTTGCCCATCTGTGTGGCTTGGGGTCTGCCTGGAAAGCTCCGATCCCTGCGGCGCTGCTGGGAGCTCCTAGTAACCCATCAGCAGAGTAAGGAACAGCCCGGTACCAAGGCCACGCAGAGGCAGGGAGTGTTCAGGAGCAAACTGCCAAAACCTGTGGATTAAGACGTGTGCTGACAGCATGGCCAGCAGCAACGCCTGCTCCGCAGAGCCTCCCGCGGCACCGGCTCGGGGCAGGGCCAGGCTTGTGCAGCTATCGCTGCTCCCTGCATCCGCACGTAATACCAGAGGCACGTGGGTTTCTGCCCAGAGCTTATTAAAGAGCCTTCTGGAATAATTATCCACATGCTATTTACTGCTTAAAGTGGGAACGTGCATGCCAAAGGCAGGTAAACAGATCATAGCTCTTCAGACTGGGTGCCTAGCTGGAGAAATGACTACCTAGGAACTTGGTTTTCTTTTCTTTGTCTGTTCTCCGCAGCCATTGCCTCCCAAATCTGGGGGCTAAACTGTTTCAGTGACGCACTTCTGAACAGTACTTGCCATTCTGCCCATAGAGGCGACCACCCAGCATCCTTCATCTGGTTTAAATTTACCTTCAGAGAGTCAAAGGGCTATTGCTAAAGCAGCTCAATATACCCACTTGGCTCCTTCTGGCACCTCCAGCCTCCTCAGGGTTACAGGGAATTATTCACTCCTTCCTTAATATAATTTATTATATTAAATTATTAAAATGCTTTGATTGTAGTGCAGTGTTAGTTCAGTGTCATGTTAGCAGCACTGCATGGGCTGGGCTCCTTGAGCTCATTCTAAAAGCCTCCTTTTCAGAGCCCAAGGTCTCAGCTGGGACTCGGTTGCTCTCGTACACAGTTAGGCATTATGTGGAAACAGGGGGGAGCAAAGGGGGAGCCACCACCTTTCTCCTACACTGAGTTTTTAAGTCTTTCCCCCTCCCTGCTCAGCCTGGCATCACTCAGCGCCACTTCTCCCTTGCTTTAGGTCAGGATGTGTCTCAGGAGAAGGCGTGAGCGCGCTTTTGAGGTGCATCTCTGGGGCAGCTCTGCCCCGGTGTTGCAGATGGGAAAGACCCCAGGACACCCATGGGTCTTTGCTAGCCCCAGGCCGGGAAGTCCTAAAACACCCTCTGTGTGCACCCTTGGGCCACCACGGGAGCAGAAAAACACTTCATGGGCACCAGGAGAAGCAAACCACCCTCTGCTGCTCCCCAGTTCACAAACGTTCACCAGCTCAGCCTGCAGATGAAGGCATCCGCTTGTTTCAGTCCCCTGGGAGTGAAAGTACCAGCTCAGGAGACCAAACTACAACCCCGACAGGTATTGTTTAGAAACCAGGTCTTCACATCAGCTCCTTATACAAGAACTTTAACTCATGGTAACAGTGTCCTCAGGCACAGCAAACACTGAATTCAAGTGCAGAGATTGATTTGCTGCTTTTCCCGCACACAGGAGCTGCTGTTGGCTGCCCTCAGGACACGGCTGCCTGATGCTTGCTGGGTGCCTGCTGCCACAGAGGGCAACTGTTCTTTCCTCAGCTTGGGGAAACCAAACATCCTAATAAAAAATATCCATTTTAGAGGTCTAGGTTATATTTTGTACAGAGCAGGAGAGAAAATGCCTGCAGTGCTCTTGGGTACGGAGTCAATGCAATGTTTATGCAAAAGGAAAAGCCATTAGAAATCACAGAAATGAGAAGCCTGCAGTTTCTGGCTTCCCTCATTTTTCAATACCTCCTTTAATCCAGACCAACCCAACCCACAAGCCCTTGTATATGCACGGGTATTTATAAATGCTGTATTTCCCTCACTGCACACACAAGTGAAATTCAGCCTTTTCTGGGCTTGGGGGATTTATCGACCACACCAACAGCAAACACCAGCTGAGACCAGGAAGCACAAAATCGCCGAGGTGCTGAGCTCTGCAGGGGAGAGGGGGCCAGCTGGGGTGGTCATCCTGGGCGTGTTCCCACTGCCCTGCTCCTGTCCCAGCACCAAACACCCAATTTGGATAGCACAGTATTGCCTTGTCTGCTAGAAAACGCTGATAATGTGGGTTCAAATATACTGGAGTCTTCTTTCTCTCTTCCTCATGTAGCCATTGGTGTTAGTGCAAAGAGGTAGGGAAAACTCAGTCGTGTAAAGCACTAAAAGGTGGTTCCTACCACCACTAGACTGATCTAAGTGCTGAGAAGATGTGCAGGGCTGGGAAGGTCTACTCCTGGCTGTCTAAGAAGTTTCTCCTTCTCCTGCTGGTCTCCATCACTACAGAGCCCGTCACTTGACCTGCTTGCTGGGATCTCAACCCGAAGCTCTATAGCTCTGATTCAAAACCCACATCCCCACACTGCAGCCACTACCTGCAGAGGCTCCTAAAGTCCCAGGACATTGGAGGTCAAATGGATATTAAGCTTGCACTCTCGTTTTTGCAGGAGCTGGTAAGTTTGTGAGACTCCTGGGTGCATTCCCACAGGAGGGGAAGAGGAAAGAAAAAAAAAGAAAAAAAGAATAAAGAGAATAAAGAAAAAATAAAGGAAAACGAAGGAAAATGAAGGAAAATAAAGGAAAGAAAAAGAAAACAAAGAAAAAATTAAAATAAAGGAAACAAAAAAAAGAACATTAAGGGGGAAGAAAACAGAAAATAAAATAAAAAAAGAATAAAAGGAAATATAAAGAGAAAAAGGAAGGAGGAGGAGGAAAAGACACAGGCAGTAGCCGGGGCTCTCGCTGGCCGCTAAGCTCCCGCCGTACGGGCTGGCATTAACCCGTCCGTGCTCAGCTCCGCCGGTCTCCGCTTCCACCTGCGCGCAGCTCCGCTCCTCCGCGGGACCCCCCCCGCCGGGGCAGGCGGCGGAACAGACACCAACCCCCCCCCCCCCCCCCCAACGCAGCCCCGGGGCCCGCCCCGCCGTTCCCCCCCCCCCCCCCGCTCCCCCCGCCCCGTTAAATGCCGCTCGGGGCCCCGCCGCCTCCCACCGCTGCTGCCGCCGCGCTCGGAACCGCGCAGCTCCGCGCCCCGCACCGCGCCCGCCGTACCTGACCCAGCAGCGCGGCGGGGAGCGGCTCCGCGGCCGGCACGGGTGAGTGAGGGGCTCCGCGGGTGCCGCCGGCCCTGCGGGGAGGGAAGGAGAGGGGAAGAGGAGGGTGAGGGTGGCCCCGTCCCGGTGCGCAGCGCCGAGCACCGCCGCGGGGGTTGGTCCCTCTGCGGGGACTTGTCCGTGGAGCGGGGCTGGTGGTCCTGGGCGTGAAGAGCAGCGAGCAAAGCTGAGGTGGGACTGGGGAAGCAGAGCCTTTGACGTAGGTTTCTGCCCCAAAGCTGGGGCTGGAGACCCCGAGCTCCTGTCGGTGTGGCCCTGTGCCACTGAGCCCCAAATGAGCGTCTCGGGGGGCAGCAGGAGATCCTGGTACCCGGCTCTGATCATACCTCTCTCTGATCATGTCCTGCTCTGAGCAGGGGGCCGGTGCAGAGGATGTAAACTCTTCTCTGCTGTCTCTCTGCTCTGCTCACCTTTTGCCTATCTGGCGGGCAGGTTCCTGCTTATACAACCGAGGATCTCTTTTAGCAGAGAATAATAAGGTCTGGTACACCTGGGCAAGGCGAACTGAGCCATAGGAGATGAGATCCTGCAGGAAGATAAGCTTGAAAGAGTGCCCTCGGTTTGCTATGCGCTGTTTCTGCACGACTGGAAAATTGGGGCTGTGCATACTCATAAATATGTTTGCACAAGCAATCACCCACCTTTGCCTTGTAATTCCAACCATCTCCCAGGGAAAAATTAGCTTTGGGCACTTTTGTTCCGAGCAATTACATGGGAAAACTTGTTTGGAAAATCAGATTATTCTGCACTCATCGTATTTATGGTCACACGCAGCCGTCCGAGATAAGTGGAGCTGAGCAGATACATGATGAGGTCCCTGTGGGACCCTCAGTAGCATCTCTTGATAGTAAAGATTTGATAGTAAACGGCTCCAAGCACAGGAGCAATTAATCACAGGCAGTGAGCGTGCAGGTCCTCAGTAACAAGTATAAACTGCTTTTCACAAGCAGATTCTTGTGATCTCTGCAAGGATTCATTAGATCGGCATTTGATATCAGCAAAAAGTGTGTGCGGGGGGAAATCTGCTCTCAGATCTCAGCCCTGAAATTTGCCACCAGGATGTGGATAAATTGGGCCTCATCTGAAATACAGATTCCCATCTGGAAAGCGTGCAAGAGTTCTTGGTGTTTGTAGTAAAGCAGCACTTTCCATTGAAGCAGGCAGGGAATTGCTGCATCCCACTGGGAAAAAAGCTGTTGTTGATTTTTTGGGGGGAAGTTGTAATTTCATTATTTCTTGAAGAATTAAAGAAATCCTACTTGATTGGTACAAGCTGAGCCGGGGAGCTACCCTTGCTGGCCACAGTAGTAAACAGAAGACATAGCCAACAAGGCAGCTTGCTGTAGGCTCTCTGCGGTCACAGAAGATGTTTGTGCTCCCGTTGCTCATAACATAGCATTTCCCTTGAGGTTGGCATTAGGGGTTAAAGGTTTTCAAGAGAAGCCTTTGTTTAAACATCTTTAAAGTTTCCAATAGGAGCCCCTTTGTTCACTGTGGAGCCCTGTGCCTGCCGTGCTCATAAAATGCCATTTACAAATGCTCCATGAATAGCGCTGAAACGCGGAGGGGGAAATAAGTAGTGTTACAAGTAGTGTTTGTATCCACACGCACACGGGAATTGCAGACAAGCTGTGAGTGAAGAAACGGGACCTAGGAAAAACACAGGGGAGAAACCCCCCAAAAGATTGAGTGGTGCTTATAAAGAAACTCATAAAACCCAGCTACTGCCCCAGACCAGTCAGTCCCTCCTGTGCCAGGTGTCCCACGCGCCTCCTCCAGCCATGCCAGGAGCCGGAGTGGCTCCTGCCACTTGTCATTACCTCTCAGTAACCGTGTTTGCTCCACTTTGGGCCCAAACAGAAGCAAATTGATCACTTGGGCTCCATTGGGAGGGGGCTCACACAGCTGCCATAAGGGCTCCATTGAGCAGCCTGGTGCAGAGACCTGGACTTTATGCTTTCTGTTACCTCCTGCAGACTAGCAGGGCTCACCCCTCAGATACATGCAGCACAGATCTACATTTAGATATTGAGTAACCTTGTTAGCACTTAGGAGCCTTTAGTTCCCTTTCCTGTTCTGGAAACCAGCCCTGTTAAAGCAGTGGAGGGTGTTGGCATGTGCTCAGGAGACTCCAGAGGCTGATGCACAGCTATGGCAGTGTTTCCATGTGGGATGCCCCCAGGCTGCAGTGCTTGATCCCGTGTCTGGAAGCTTTTCTGGTTCTCAGGCAGCTTGTCCTTCCTGGTGTTCATTACTGGAGGCTGGATCCATCTTCCCTAGGAGCTTTCTGCCTTTGCCTGCATCTTTGTCTGCAAACATCTGATCTCTTACCTTGCAAGCCCTTAGCTGCACACATACAATCCATTGCTAACCTGGTCCCTCTGATGCCTATCAAGGAAATCTATTAGGATCAGCTGTGGCCTCTTGCAGAGAGGTGTCAGTAACTCAGTTCCTCTCCAGACTTCAGCCTTCCTGTGTCTGGGCTGTGTCATGCTGCTTCACTGGTTGATTGCCAGCATACAAGTTCAGGAGCCTTTGAGTTGTAGTCTGCGGACCCGTAGGAGTCCATGGTCTATAGCAGGAATCGGTAGGAGTATGTCTGTTAACAGCAGAGGTCCTCAGCCGTGGCCACAAATGCTGCTTTAAGTCCCCTTGGAAGTCTTGCAAGAGGGTTCCATGCAGTGTTGGAGCATGCTGACAAGGCCAGGCTGACACACGGATGCACCAGCTCTTCAGCACGGGTGGAAGTGAGACCGCAGCCCATTGCGATGCTGGTGGAAGTTCTGTGATGCATCCCCTATGGGGTGACAGCGTTCCAGCCCTGTGACAGCGGTTCTCTGGCTGTCCCGCTGTCAGGGGGATGTGGCAGCAGTGAAGTTAGGTGGGAGCAGTTTCCCATGCTGCTTCTATGGTTCTTCCTGTGAAAAGTACCTAGCCAAAGAATTCAACCAGCTTGCTTTTCTGTCTTGAGGAGGGCAGAAAAGTCTCCGCGTGCTTTTCTGCAGCCACCAGATGCTTCTCACTTTCTGCTATTTCAATTGAACACATAGCAGGATGGGTAGGATAAAAGGGAGAGGCACAAGAATATTCTCCTGGCGTGTTTTCTTATGCCAACACATTGAGTCACGTCTCCAGAGAAATACGATATAAAGATTTAGAGAAGGAGGTCAGGCAATGAATCTATGGTTGTGAGGCTGAAATAGCAGGCGTTCTGTGGTTGTCTGTGCCATGTAAGCTTGCCGGAGGTCAGCTGGGGATAGTGGTCCCAGTGGATTTGGGAAATGGACATCCTGCTGGTAAGTATCAATCTTACTGCTTAGAGGTACCAGCTTTGCTGACAAACTGCACCAGCCCGGGAGCTGCTCTGGGCTGTTTCTCTTTCCTTTGTGGTTGAATATGCATATTTCTAGGGGGAAAAAAAAGCTCTCTAACACCTTCCTCCCAGAACAAGAACTTGGGCAATGGAATGCTGCCTCAGCTGTTGGATGGCCCGGACCTCATTCCCTCCAAAGTTTGAAGTCTCTTGGCCCTGTTCAGCTGTCCTCCAGGGGCCTGTTTGTGGAAAAACATTTGCTTATTGAAGAGAGTCAGTAAAGGTGGGTCTTTCCCCTGCTGACCACTCTTCATCAACATCTCAGTGTCCAATATCCCTCCAGTTTTACTTAAGATACCAGTTAGGAGCAGGGTGGGTTTCCACGTCATGCAGCTCAGGACATGTGCAGCCAAAGGTTTGCAGTAGGACAGAGAGGAATAGGGAAATGCCACTGGCAGTTCTGAAACAGAAGGCATCTCTTGACATGAGTTGAACAAGGGGAACTGTCTGACTATACATGTGCTTCAAAAGGCCATGTTTAATTTGCAAATGAATGTGGCATTTATTCTTGCCAGCTGTGGCCACAGCAGCCCAGGTACAGTGTGTTTCAGTGCACAGGGTGGCTGGGCAAGAGGCTTTCCTCCTAGCTGACATGCAGAGCATTGAGAGGTCTTTTACAGACAGACTGATGGCAGAGAAGGACCCCATGTGCTGTTGTGAACAATACCTAGAGCTCTGTCCATTGGCACACCCAGCATTTCTTTCCCAAGGGGACTTCAGATGGCATCTCATAGTGTAAGCCACTCAGAACTTGTATGATGTTAGGTCCATGAGCTGTGAGACAAAGATGTCTGTCACTTAGCCTGCAAATAGACCTGGACAAGAAACCCGTCTTCCTCCTGCCCTCCCTGTGAGCATGCTAATCCTAGTGAGTGCAGGAGTGGGGCCCATAAAACAGGGAATCGGCTTTTGGAGGGGGGCAAAGAGAGAGCAAGAGTAGTCCCTTCTGCATCCAGCAAGGTTTTCCCGTTACAGCACTCCTGCCGATTCCCTCCTGTTGGGTTTGGAGCCACGACGAGCTGTTTGAGAAATACAACCTTGGTTTTCAAACAACGTGTCCTTCCAGGTGGCACTTGGCCCAGCAAAGCTGCTGTAGCGTTGTAACCAGAGAGTATTGCAATGTCCTGGAAAGAGTCTGCTCTTGTTCTCCCACACGTGTGTTTGGGGAGAACCAAGGACACGTCAGTCCTTAAACTGGGGGAGAAAAACCTTTTGGGCTGGAAATTCAGGCCATTTCCCTGGTTTTGGAGTGCTTGTGCTCCCTACCTCTTCCTTGCTCTGAAAACTGCACTGCTGTCATTGCTCTCATGGGATTTGCAGCTCGTCACCCAGCTGCTGTGGAGGATGAGCACTGGGATGGTGGAGCTGTGATGGAGTGCAAGGTCAACGCTGCATGTAAAATGGCACTGAATCCATCTCATAAGCAGCAGAGGCACTGCTGAGAGCCATAAACCTGCAGGCAGGGAGCACCTTGAGATTGTGGATTGTGCTGAAAGAAACCAACCTTTGGGTAACCCTCCAGGAGAGGGTAGATCCAGCTCCGGGGCTGTTGTGGGCCTCATTTGTTCACACAGCTTGAGGGTCATGCAAATATATGGACAATGTGGCAGCAGCCCGTAGGGGTTTCCACAGCAAAATCAAGTATCAGGAGATGCCTCCAGGTTGATGTAAGTTGTTTGCATCTCTCCAAGTAGGTTGCTTCATTGTCCCCTGTGCCTGGGGCAAGACATGTTTCTGTCTTCCTCCCTTGGTTCTCCATGCACTTTTGGGGCAGCCTCTCTCTTGGGCATGGACTTGAACCATGATTTGTCCTGCTGAGGACATTAAAATTCGTCTCCCTATTCTCCAGCCTGAGGCCAGCTCTTGCAGTCTTTCTGCTGTTGTCCTGGCAGGACTCTGGTGTCCTAAACACAAGAAGTCTGTGTCCAGGCTCCTGAGCCAATCTGTGCCTTTTTTTGAGCACTTTTATCAGTTAACACTGATGCGCGAGTGAATTATACCCTGCCAAAAATGGCTGGTTGGGTCTGCACATAGAAAAGCCCTGCAGAGCAAAACAGGGTACGCGGAGAGACAAGTGAGGTGGGTGAGCCTCAGGAACATCACGTCTAGGGCTGCTCTGCCATTAGCCAAGGTTTCCAGCACAGGAATACGTGTTATTAGCTGGTAGCAGAGGTGGCATCAGTGCCATGCACCCCTGCCATGCATGCCCAGGCTCGCTGTGCATGCCTCCTCCCATGCACAGGCATGCTGCATGGACAGCCCTCCGGCTTTGGCGTGTTGGGTAACAGTGTGCTTGGTCAGAGGCTCCTGACTGTTCCCCACTCCTTGCAATGCATGGTGATCCCTTGTCCTGCTTCTCACAGGATCTGGAGCCAGGACAGAGCTGCTGCTGCTGCTCCCACAATGTGCCACAGGCCTGCCAAGCCCAGGCAGGACCTGTGGCTGGGGTTGTGTGGGTTTTGCCATAAACAGAAGTCACAGCTAAAGGCTGATGTGCCCAAATATATGAAATCTTGTACCTGAGACTTGGCTCATGACTCATAGCCGTGGCCCACAACCTGCTTTACTCCTAATGACACTATGGCTGGGGCTTTCCCTGGGCTCTGAATGCACTGCCACCTCCTGAGCCTTTCACTCCTTCTTTCCCAATCTGCTTCATCCCCTCTATTCAGTCTATAAAACTCCCACCCCTGTAACCCTGTGAGGAGGGTAGGGAGATGCTCCCTGCCATGCCCTGTCCTTTGGGCTTGCCCAGGGGAGGATGCACCTGATCCAACCTGTGTGGATGAACCAGAAGGGGAATATTGGGAGCGTTTCTGTTAACCTGTAGCCAGGAGGGAGCTGCCAAGGAGGCCACGCTGAAACCCGAAGCGGCTGTTTTTCCTGAGACTCAGCACTTGGCAGGGAGAGCAGACGGACAAGTGATGGAACCGGGAGGGATGCAGGCACCCTGGGGACAGCACTGCTGGTGGAGGTGCCCTGGGAAAGGCATTGCTGGCTTACCTGTTTGCATCTGGGGGTTCGTCTCCATGTCCTCCTTATCCGAGATCAGGAGGAGAGTCAAGAGCAGGCTGGCGTCATTGCTGACCCTTCGTGTGGCTCTTCCCTCAGTCACCCTCTCTGCAGCACGAACTGAGCATCTCCTTCAGCAGGGACAAGCAATGGCTGGTTTTCCCCTCGCGTTGCTCAGAAAGGTCAGGAGATGATCCACGTGTCCCTCTCAGCTTGGGTTCGGCTGAGCCAGCCCTGCTAGGGCAGCACTCGCCCCGCCTGGACCTTTTCTCCTTTATAGCTCAGTGTTATCTCAAGGTCTCTGGTGCTGCAGCCGGTGCTGTGTTTGCCTTGCTTGCAGCACCTGCCTGCCAGCCGGTCACTTCCCACCCATCTCCCTCCCACTCCTGCGTGGTAGCAGGAGGTTCAGGGGGGAACTGGGGGAGCCCTCGGGGTGGGGGAGCCCCTCCATGGGGATGCAAGTGCAGGGGGAGTGAGGACAGTGTGTAGCAGGGACAATGTCTGGTGCAGAATGGTGGGAGAGATGCTTGGGGGCATCTGTCCCATTGCTTTTGCTTCCCCATCCGCTTTGCTGCTGGGGCAGGGCTGGGCGTTATATTCAACTGGGGACCAGGGTGCTGTTCCAGCCTGGCTCTCTGCTGCCAGGACTGGTGCTGAATGCATGGCTGAGCTGCCCTGCCCTGTCCCGGCAGCATCAGCCCCTCCAGCCATGAGGAGTGCCAAGACTTCATCCAAAGCTGAGATGCTGTTAAAAATAGATCAGTCTTGAACTGGTTTTCTCCTTGGTTTCTGGCCCAAAACCTCATTCCTGTCTCTGGCTGGCTTTGAAGCTATCTGGATGCTATGTGATGCAGGCTCAATACCAGCCTGCCACTGCAGGGAGGCTTGGAGAGCAGAGTGCTGTAGAAGTGTTATAGGTGGCATAACTTTCCCCAGAATATTTAGTGGTTAGGGATTGCTTTCTGTCCCCCCAAAATTGCTAGGAAAAGAATCTGCTAAATGGGGAAACAAAGCTGGGATAGGAGGGGCTGTTTGCTCCTCTGCTTGCACATGGTGCTCTTGTGAGGGTGCACAGACACCCAGGCACTCCTGCCCACAAAGCCCCGTGGCTTCCTAGAAAATGTATGTTGGGCTGCAGCCTCCCCTCATCTCCAGAACCTGGAGGGATCCCACTGGAGTGATCCCACCAGAGTGATCCCAGTGGTCTCTCCTGCAGGAGCCACCACGTCCCGAGCTGGGTGCTCACACTCCCTGGGAAAAGGCTGAGTCTCTCCCTTTGAGGCTTCTGGATCCCACTTTCCTCCTGTAGCCCTTTTCTGTCCTTATTCCTCAGTGTCATTTTTCAGGTGTGAACGCCGAGTCTGGAGACAATTTTAAGATGCAGCTGTGAAACCTATTATCCATGTCCCTGCTATCAAATACATGAGGTTCAGGGCTGCACGTAACCAGTGAGCAATTAAATGGCAACCCTGGTGATGAATTACAACTGGGACCTCCTGGGGCTAAGTAAACACAGCTGATAACCACCGATAGAATGAATTTCCGTGTGCTTTTTCTTTTCTAAAAGCACCCTTCTAGTACCTGTGCCCAGTCATGGTGCTGCTGTATCCCAGGGGAAGCTGCAGTACCTGTGGCATTTTCACCCCCTAGCTCTTTGGGTTTCCAACCAGGGCTGCATAAAAGTGATGAAAATAAACCAACTAAACCCGTGTCCCTGCAGGAGCTGGGCAAAGGCAGGGAAAGGCACCACAGAAGCGGGCAGGGAGGGAGACAAGTGACAAACTGGGGTTTGGGTAACTGATTTAAACATCTTTTCCTTCAACTGTCCCACCTCAAACAGTGTTGGGGTGCAGAGCATCCCTCAGAACAGCCAGCAGGATACGGAGAGCTGCAAAAAACATTGGTGACCGCGGTGGGGTCCCCTGAGGTGATGTGAAGGAGAGTGGCAATGCTTCACCCAGCACCCTGCCTGGTTGGGGGGAATGGGTGAAAGCCCATCTGCATGGGCACCGTTGCACCCTGTCCCTGCAGAGGCTTCTGCTCTCCAGAGGTAGTTCGGAAGAAGGCAGAGAATAGATTTATGGAGCTGCTTGGAAAAATGATCCCTGCCAGTGACTCTGAGCCGCTGCTGAGGAGGTTTTGTCTGTGCTGGTGTTTCCTCTGGGGGCTTCTCTTACTGGGCAAAGGGAGCTTCAGGAGGTGCTCTGCATCCCCGGGTGCAGCTTTCCCACTCTCCGGCTGGCTGCGGAGAGCAGCAGCTCCGCCAGTGAAAAAGTATTTGGCTGAACATCCCATCCGCCTGGTTTGAGAGTGAAAATAAGGCTTGGCCAGCTCCACCCAGAGCAGAAAATCAGACCCTGTGGCAGACTGCCGCTGCTGTAATCAAATTTAGCTGTGCTGAGGCTGCCAGTCCTTAAATGGGAAAAGTCCCACGTGGGTCCAGAGGCGTCTGGGGATGGGTCTGTCAAAACTGCTGTTGCAGAGGGGTTTTGGCACTGCCTGGGGACACCCACCGCAGGTGAATGTCACCCTGTGGCTTGGCCCACCCTCAGCACTCATTGCACATTGCCTTCTCCCCGCAGTGAGTCCCTGCAGCGTGAGGTCGCACAGAACCATGATGAAGCTTCTGCCCATCATCCCGCTCCTCCTGCTCCTCCTGACGATGCTGGAAGCCAGACCAAAACCTGCAGGTGAGCCCTGGCTGGTGGGGAGTGCCTGGAGGAGAGAGAAGCGCAGTGAAGCCCTTGCTGCTTGAGGTGAGGGGGACTCGATGCCTCTTCTTTGGAGGCATCCCCAGCAGGATGGAGGATCTGCCCAGGCGTGGGACCCGAAATCCCCAGCGGTGTCCAGGGGAGCAAGGAGCTTGAGCCTGGCCCCAACACCAGACCCAGTCAATTCCAGTCCATTCCAAGTCAATTCCAGTTTAGAAACAGTGAAGGCACCAAATGGAGAAAGGAGCAGGTATGTCTTGGAGACCTTCGGAGCAGTTGAGATGACAGCCTGGGTCTGGGCAGCATCCCAAGGGGACTCAAGTGTTTGCTTACCATTAGGGCCAAATTCTCCCAGGCTTAAGTACAGACAAGCCAAGCAAAATATGTTCATTGGCATTTCACTTGCTAAATACTCTCCAAGTTTGCACTGGAAGTAGCACCCGTATGTCCAAGAGAGGCTCTTTGGCTTGATCCCTGCCATGTGCATGCCCTTAGCTGTGCTTCTCGGTGTCTCATTTGCTGCCATTAAAAAATAAAAGACAAATCACCAAAGCAAGCCCTGGTTTTAGGCAGAAACTGGCAAAATGCGGTAAAAGCCAGGGACAGCTGGAGCTGTGGGGAGGAACGGAATTGCCCAAAGCAGTGTGTTCCTGCTTGCCACTTGAGCGAGTAGGAGCCCATGCGGTGCAGAGGTCTGAGGCAGGGACTGCAGCTTGCAGAGAACAGCACAAAGCACTGGTCTGGTTTACAGTTTAATGCTCTGATTTGCTGCAGGGATGAAGATGCTGCTGCCTAAACCTGTGCTTATTCCTTGCCAGGGCAGATGCTGACAAAGTGGTATTTCTGCAGCTTCTGGGGCTGCTGGCTGTGGAAATGCAGGGAGCAGGAGCTGGGTCTGGCTAAAGGGGTGGTACTGGGGAGGAGGGGATGCTGCCATTTCCCTACAGCCAGGGCCTATCTTCCTGCCTGTCATCCCTGCTTCTGCTCTGCCAGCACCGTCCACGAGGTTATTTGGCAGTAGGGGCTGCACAGATGTGCCCTTTCCACCTTCCACTGAGCACCCCTCAAGCCACCCCACAGGGATGTCTCTGCTGCCAGCCCTGCTCTGCACAGGCAGTTGTGAGGCTGAACTGTCTCTTTTCCCCCTTCCAGCCCTGAAGTGCAGGACAGGTCCTCTGGACATCGTGTTTGTGATCGACAGCTCCCGCAGCGTGCGCCCCTTCGAGTTCGAGACCATGCGGCGGTTCATGATGGACATCATCAGCAGCCTGGACGTGGGCCCCAACGCCACACGGGTGGGGGTGATCCAGTACTCCAGCCAGGTGCAGAACATCTTCTCCCTCAAGACCTTCTTCACACGGGCGGACATGGAGAAGGCCATCAACAGCATCGTCCCGCTGGCCCAGGGCACCATGACGGGGCTGGCCATCCAGTACGCCATGAACGTGGCCTTCACCACGCAGGAGGGCGCGCGCCCTCTGCACAAGAAGATCCCCCGCATCGCCATCATCGTGACGGATGGACGGCCCCAGGACCGTGTCACCGAGGTGGCCACCCAGGCCCGGAACGCTGGCATTGAGATCTACGCCGTGGGCATCCAGCGGGCAGACATGAACTCGCTGCGCGCCATGGCCTCGCCGCCGCTGGAGGAGCACGTCTTCCTGGTGGAGTCCTTCGAGCTCATCCAGCAGTTTGGGAAGCAGTTCCAGGACAAGCTCTGCGGTGGGTGAGAGCCGTGGCTGCAGGGGTGGGCAAGGATGGTGCTGGTGCCTGCTCCTCACCTGGGCTAAAAGGTGACCTTCAGAGCGGTGTTTGGGGTGGCTGCCCTTGCTGGGAGCAGTATGGACAGGGAAGCGTGGTGCCAGGACCCCAAAGGATACCAAAGCAAGGTGGCCTTTCCTCTTGCTCACCTTTCCTGGGGTGACATAAAGAAGGCTTTGAAAACATTACAAGTGATTTTCTTCGCCCATGCGTGGTAGCTCTGCCCCAAGCCAGCACATCACGGGAATGGTGATGGGAATACTAAAGAGCAGGAAATGTGGAGCTGGTTTCCCTGGGTATGGCGGGGATGGATGACACATCCCAGAGCCTTGTGTACGTTTTGACGTGGCTCTAACAGGGTCTCCTCCTACACAGACACATGCACGGCGTCTGCTGCATGCGCATTGGTGTTTAATAAACCAGGAGGCTGATTCTCACCATGGCCATGCTGGTGCTGGTCAGGAGCTTGCAGGCTGGGACCTGCCGTGCTGGGGTCAGAGACCTGTCACTGCAGCAAGCCAGCAAGACCTTGCTCGTGTGCTTCAGCATCTGTTGAAGGGCAGAAGACAACTGCCAGCCTTTTCCAGGCAGTGTTTTCTAGCAAGGAGCACTGTGTGTGCAGGGCTGCGTTAGTGCTGTGGTGAGTCGTGTGCTGGAGCGGGGGCTCCAGGGCTCACCAAATACTGCCTTCCTGGCTGCATGGGCACACAGACCTGGCTCCTTCGGTATGTTCCAGCTGAGCTCAAGCTTTTGCTTACTCAGCTCAAGCTGTCATCAGTATCAGTTAATACTGAGCATTGATTTAGCACTCACGTAGATCAAAAAGCCAAGGCGGTTCTGAAACCTGCCCCGCACAGTGTCCGTGTCTGTGCACTGGAATTCAGTGGGTGAACACTGGGGCTGGGAGGACTGGGGCTGTGTGGGTCATCCCAGTGGATTCGCCTGCAGGGACAGGGCACGTGGCAGAGCTGGGGTCCCCGTTAATCAGCCCATTGGCTGCTCTGATGCCTGTTCTGTCTTGCAGGGGTGGACATGTGCATGGGACAGGAGCACGGCTGCCAGCACAGCTGCATCAGCACCCCTGGCTCCTTCTACTGTGAATGCAACCCAGGCTACAGGCTCAACGTGGACGGAAAGACCTGTTCCTGTAAAAACCCTTCTTTTGTCCTAACTCTCGTAGGGGGCTTGTAGTTACAGACCTCATGGAGGGAAGCTGAAATGCAGCACAAGACCCAGGGAGGGCAGCAGCAGCCTGGGTGCTCTGTGCACAGAGCCTTCTGCCTCCTGGGTGTGTAATGACCGCGGACACTCAGTATTGCTAAATCCTGGTCACCTCTCTGGGGTGGCCACTTGGGGCTCATGTGGGCACAGCCTGAGGGGGCTCTGGGCAGGGTTACCGGAGGATGCACATCCCAGCCACCAAAGTGCACAGTGGTTTAGCCCTGTATGGTGAAGGCAAAGCTGTATTAGCGGGTCTGGTCATCACCCTGGGACTTTTCCTTCTTGTCTCATGGTGCTGGGAGCTGCTGTGAAGCCCTGAAGCAGGCCCTGCTTAGCTGCCCCAGGGAGGCTGGGGCAGGAGGGTGACGGTGTCCTGCTCCCTGCAGTCATTGATGCGTGTGCAGACGGGAGACACGGCTGTCAACACCAGTGCGTCAGCGTTCGTGGGTCGTACACGTGCCACTGCCGTGCGGGTTACTACCTCCACCAGAACAAGAAGAGCTGCACCAGTACGTGCACCACCCCCCCCCCCCCTTCCTGTCCCTTCTTCATTTGCTTCTCGCTCTTCCTCTCCTTCTCTTGTCTTTCCCTTTCTGCCCACCCCTCTCCTTCTCCCACCAGTGATCGATTACTGCAGCTTCGGAAACCACAGCTGCCAGCACGAGTGTGTGAGCATCCCCAACGGGCACTACTGCCGCTGCCGCAGCGGGTTCACGCTGCAGCCCGACAGCAGGTCCTGCAGAGGTACGGCACAGCCTGCACTGTATGGCAGATACCCTTATGTCCTGCCCAGTCCCCAGGGAAAGGGCTGTTCCTGGACCTGAATGGGGATAACCCTGTGCCCTTGGCTTGTCTTTCAGCCACTGACCTCTGCAATGGGGTGGATCATGGCTGCGAGTTCAAGTGTGTGAGCACAGAGGGCTCCTACCGCTGCGTGTGCCCCGAGGGCCAGCAGCTCCAGGCCGATGGCAAGGCGTGCAGCAGTAAGTACTGGGATGAGGCTCCTGGCATCCTCCTCATCTGGGCTCTGTGCTCCTGGAGAGGGCTTACCTGAAACTGAGCTGGGGATCTAAGTGGGAGTTTGAGCTGGGTTGGAAAAGGATGGAGAGCTGGCTGGGCTTGGGGAGCGCCCTGCCTGCTGCAGGGATGGATATGGGCTTGTGTCCTCAGAGACAGGGCCCAGAAGATACAACAGGAGCTTTGAGGAAAAGGGAGACCGAGGAAAGACTTTTAGGGGATGCTGGGGTGGCAGTGGAGGTTTTGGGGCTGAGACCCCTGGGTATGCTTTGCCCTGATTCCCAGCCTCATGTGGGCTGCAGTTCCAGGGGGTCCACACAGGGTCCTGAAGCCCAGTCCTAGCTCTGGGCACCTTCACTCTGCTGGTGCCCATGGCCGGGCTTGTCCCTTCTCACCTTACCCCTGTGCCCCCAGAGTGTGGGTCTGGACACGTCGACCTGGTGATGGTGATTGATGGTTCCAAGAGTGTCCGGCCCCAGAACTTTGAGCTGGTGAAGCAGTTTGTGAACCGCATCGTGGACCTGCTGGAGGTGTCCCCGCACGGCACGCGCGTGGGGCTGGTGCAGTACTCCAGCCGCGTCCGCACCGAGTTCCCCCTCAACAAGTACCACAGCGCGGACGAGATCAAGAAGGCGGTGATGGAGGTGGAGTACATGGAGAAGGGCACCATGACGGGCCTTGCCCTCAAGCACATGGTGGAGCACAGCTTCTCCGAGCTGGAAGGTGCCAGGCCTCTCTCCCACAACATCCCCAGAATCGGGCTCGTCTTCACAGATGGGCGCTCCCAGGATGACATCTCTGAATGGGCCAGGAGAGCAAAGGAGTCAGGTACGAGGTGCTGGAGAACCCCAAACCGCAGTGCTTTGAGCACTGCAGGATGGTTCCTCGGGGAGTCAGGCTCTGGGGGAGGCTGCAGCATCCAGCCTTGGGGTGCTACATCAGCCGGGTCTGCAGGAGCAGAAGTGCCTCTGCCATGGTTCAGGCTGCTCTGATCAGCATCCTTCATGCGACAACCTGCACCGCAGTGGTTTCCTGCCTAAATTCGTGATGTGTATTTGAGAAGCCCAGTGTAAACCCTGCATCCTTGGCTTTGCTGCCTTTGGGCTGCTGGATGTGGGGTGGCCAGCGCAGTGCTCAGGATCCGTCCTTGCCCTGCAGGGATTGTTATGTTTGCTGTGGGTGTTGGTAAGGCTGTGGAAGAGGAGCTGAGAGCAATCGCCTCCGAGCCCGTGGAACAGCACTTCTCCTACTCAGCAGACTTCACCACCATGACCCACCTCGTGGAGAACTTCAAGCTGAACATCTGCCCAGGTGGGTGCCCTGGGGGGCACAGCTCCAAGTCGGGGGAGCCCTCCTCTCCCCACAGAGCCAGTGGGGTGCTTTCTGTGTCTGTCACCCTGCGTTGTGTACCCCACGCTGCTCCTGGCACTTGCGGTGATGCCTGGCAGTGAGCTTCCTGCTGGCAGGGATGCAGTCTGGCAAAAAGGAGTGAGGCTGGGAAAAGGGGGAAATGGGGGAGAGGAGCCCCAAGGCTGAGGTCCTGCCCTAGGGAGTGGCTGTAGGAACAAGGGACTGGAGCTGTGCGGGAGCAGGGGAGAGCTGGGCACCACGAGGCCGCGGCTCTGACTGCACCCAAACCCCCGTGGTCACAGAGGAAGGCAAAGGGGAGACCGAGATCCGCAGCCCCTGTGAGTGCGAAGCGCTGGTGCAGTTCCAGACGAACACCGTGGCCATCCTGCAGAGCCTGACTGAGAAAAATATCCTTTGGGGTGATGCCTGGGCTTGCCGGGATGCAGGGCAGCCCAGGGACAGACTGCACGTGGGGAGGGATGGGTAAATGGGAACAGGGAAAATCTTAGGGTCCCTCAAGGGGGCTGTCTGGCTCACACTGTTTCCTTAGCACATTCACTTGCTCAGATGACAGCCAGACTTGAAGACTTGGAAAAGCAGATTGCCAAGAAGAAGTGATCCTTACAGAGGGCTGCAGCGCTCGTACGGGGCACGGGGATGAACAGTAGCTACATGGCATTGTTATTGCTAGGTTATTGTAAAGCATCAGTGTTTGTTCTTGTATCACAAAACCCCCGGGGGTGTGTGGAGAGTATTTAAAATCCCCAAAATCCTAAAAGAAAAAAACCCAAACCAAAAAAAGAACTTGAGCAAGAGCCCCTGCAGTGAAGCTAAGGGGTTCAGCCAGAGTCAGTGCCTCAGTCCTCTGAGCTGGTAGCTCTGGGATGAGGTGGGGTGATTGCGTGGCCAGGCTGGGCTTTGGAAGAGGGTTTAGATTGGATATTAGGAACTATTTCTTCACTGGGAGGGTGCTCAGGCATTGGAACAGGCTGCCCAGGGCAGGGCTGGAGTCACCGTCCCTGCAAGTGCTCACACACCGTGTAGATGAGGCCCTCAGTGCCATGGGTTAGTGGTGGCCTTGGCAGTGCTGGGGACCAACCCAGCTGATTCTATGATTCTGCGTTGATACCCGGCCTTTTCCCAGAGCGAGGGGAGTGAATCAGCCCCTGCACAGTCCCCAGCACCCAGCTTTGCAAGAGAAAACCCCTCCAGTGATGGTACCCTGGGAGCCGCCAAGTGTTGGGGCCAGGATAGCTGCAGGCAGTGCACAGGGATGGATGCAGACCAGCCAGCTCCCACATGGCACCCGGCTGTGCACCCATGGGGAAGCAGATGGCAGGAATCGAGCAGATCCCCTTGGCCCTCTTTTGGCAGAATTGTTTGGGAATTGGTCGTCATCTTGTTTGGTTTTTTTAGTCACATAGCAAAATGGTAAGAATTCTTTCCATAACTATCCATGTGTGTGTATATAGATTTCATACTGAGAGTGGGGTAGTGCTGATTTTAAACACTTATATAAAGAAATTCCTAAACACTTCTTTTATATAAAGAAATTTCTATCCTGACAATAAACACCCTCAAGATTTGTATGACCTGTTCCTCTCCTTTTGGCTGGGCTGCAGGGCCACAGAGGCATCAGCAGAAACGATGCAGAGGACAGAGCCTTGGCCTCGGGCTTCGAGGAGCTGGTGCATGGTTACCTTCTGTTTGCTTGAGACTGGGATTTGGAGCTGAGGAGCAGGAAGATGAAGGCAGGGCCTGGGTTGGGCTGTGGAGCTTGGTGGGACTGCTCTGGGGAAGGGAGCTGGGAAGAGCTCAGGCACTTGTTCTGTGAGGTGAAGAGTAGCTTTTTCCCACATGCAATTGAAAGCAGTGGTTTCCCCAGGTCAGCATGGGATTTGATGGCTTGCGAGGAGGGCTCTTGTCCTACCTGGAATGGACTGGGGCATTTGTAGCCTTATTATATCTGTTTACTGGGCTGCCAAATGAAGCAGTGATGATTAACAACCCCATAGCGCTCCTGTCAGCCCATATAATACCCATCAACCCCACATCCTCTCATGCACCCCATAAGCCCCCATCCCTCTCACCCTGCAACCCAGCAGACAAGACGGGGGGGGAGGGTGGGGGGTGGGAAAGTGCTGATGGTCACAAGCACAAGCCACATCCGAGCCATATCCTATTGCTACAGAGTGCAGGGACCAATCTGCAGGGATCCCAAATCTGCAGTCCCAAATGTGGGACTTCCCTGGTGTATGCAGCTCCCTAAAACATACAGTAACTGCAGGGGAAAGGAAGCAATTAGCTGAATTTGGGGCTTAATAACAGGCTTGATTAAAGCAGATAATGGCACTCCCTAAGGGCATGAGTAAGTCTCAGCTGGCCCAGTGTGATTTTGGCAAATACTAGGGGAAGTTGTAGACCAAGTGGTGCTCGGCTGGCAGCGAGATGGAGAGGCTGGATGACGGCTGGCAGCTTGGACGGGAAAAGCGAGAGGGGAGAAGGAGCAGCAGAAGCCAGGCATCCACTGAGGTGGGATCTGTGGGATCGCATTTGGGAGCAGAGCCTCATTAATGGCTTTTCACTAGATGGCACCAAACACCAGCGTTAATGAGGGTCCACTGAGCTGGGGGCACCCCCTTCTCCCGAGCACCCTGAGGTGGTGGACGTGGCTTGGGGACAAGCGGAGCATCCTCAGCCATGAGCTGGGGATGAATGGATGGATGGAGAGACAGATGGATCTCGGGCTGAACACATTCCACCACCTGGAAGGACAAGGGCTGCTTTAGAGGGAACAAGCTATCCCTCATGTGCTTTGTGCACCCTGCTAGGGCTGGGGCTTGGTATGGCCAAGCCCTGAGCTGGGTGACTGCTGGTCCCTCCGTACCATCCCATGGAAACGGGGACTGAAGAACCCTGGCCTGGCTGGGAGCTTCAGCCAGCAGCACCCCTGGCCCTGCACAGCTCAGGCCTTGCTGCCTCAGGAGAAGGCTCTGGAAGTGCATTCCATGGAGGAGATGAGCAGGGTGGGATGGGGACAGCTCTGGAGGACGCTGGAACAATGAGTTCTGCACATGTGGCAGAGTATAACACATGGACTGCAGGTGGTCCAGTGCACAGAAATGCCACAGTCTGGCTTATTCTGTGGGAGTTTGCAATAGAAGCATGGTTCTGCCTTTCCACACTATGAACTTCCTATGGATAAAGCACTATCAAAAGTCCTTCAGCCAGATCCCAGCAACCAGCTGCATGCCAGAGAATCACTTAGAAATCATCCAATGCTTATATTTCTCATTAAAAATGCTAAATGGTTGGTGCTCAGCTCAAACTCTATTTGGGTTGGCTAAATATCCTCCCAGTTATTTATTAAATGCCTTCACAAAGAGCTAAATACAGCCACAAGGTCATTAGGGAAAACGGACAATAATTAACGGAGATCCAGTAAATTAAGGCTCACAATGCCCTGGATGCAGAGCAGGGCTCCAGGGCAACGGCTCAGGGGCTGCACGGAGCAGAGGCTTTCCCTGCTCCTTGCCCTGCTTGGTTGCAAAATCAGGGGCTACCCCAGCCTGCCCTTTGCAGAAGCACTGGTGGGGGGGTGGGGGGATTTGGCTGCAGGTGCCTTTCCCTCCCAGGACGTTCCCTGTGCCTTTTCCGTTCCTGCTAGCCTCAGAAATCCCAAGTAAAGGTTCCAGGAACTTGGTATTACACAAGGCAATGGGGGCCATTGGTGGGAAATGGAGTAATTTCCCATTGCCCAAGAGCACCTAAAGAAAACAGCTTTGCCTGGAGGGGAGGTCCAATCTCCTTGGGAGGGAGGAACAGATGGAGGCCTGAACGCTGGTGGGGTCTTTGCCATCTGAGCAAGGACTATAGCCCCTAATCTCTACAGCCAGCTAAAGCTGGGCTCAGTTCTGCTGTCCTTGTGCCGCACAGGGATTTTTGGCTGATGACAGGGCTGTATGGAGCAAATTATCCCACCCTGGTGAGGCCAACCACTTCCTTTCAGCACTAACCTGCTTCCTACATGGCAGCAGCCTCCCAGGGAAGGGTATGAGGTTCAGGTAACCCCCACAGAGCTTGAGAAGAACTCACTCCTGGCTAAGCCAAAGCTGCTTTCCCCACAATAACTCTCACCACCATTAGGGCAGGAACCAGGAGTGTTTGGGGCAGGTTTCCTCCATAAAAACCTCAAAGGATCATCCCTGGGAAGGCACAGCCAGCCCCATGCTGATCTGGATCATGCCGTAAGGTCTGGTTTACAGGTCCACATGGAAGCAAGGTACAGAGAGAAACGCATATAAAGGACCTCCGGGTTGGAACGCAATATGGTCACAACGGTTTCTCCTGGAGAAGCATTCCTGCCCAGGAGAAAGCAGCCCCACTGCCTCCAGCCTGCTTGAGAGGCAAAGCCCTGGACAATCGCTCCTTGGCTTGTCCCTCAGCCCCAGGTGTAGCTGCAGGGCACAGTTGTGCAATGGAATAACTGCTTTTTGAGCAACTGGACAACCCCAAGTGTATCTTGTGCAAAAGATGTCCGGAAAACGCCATGCAACAGCAGAGGAAAAAGGTACAAACATCAGCACATGCCCAGCCCCATTCCCTGCCCCCATCCTCCCCAAGGCTTTAAATGCCCATGTCCCCCATCTCTCCACACTTACACCTCTCAAGGACACAGCAGCATGAAGTCGGTGGCTGCTCTTCTCCTGGTAGGGATGCTCATCCTCTGGACGGAGCTGCCAGCAGGTAGGAGATGCCCCGGATAAGGCACAGAGAGGAGATGCACAGGAGTAGGGAGGGAGCTGTGTTAGCAGGGATCCTGTGGGATGGGAGAGGAGATGGGGGCATCTTTCTGAGGCAGCCCATGGCCAACACCTCTCTCCTCTTGCAGGCAGCGCCTGGTCCTGCCCTCCCGTCCGCTACCGCTGCATGATGCAAAACCCACCCAACAAGTGCCTCACCAACCGGCAGTGCCCGCGGTACAAGAAGTGCTGCCCATCCTTCTGTGGCAGGAGATGCCTCTCGCGCCCATCCTACCCCCCTTTGATCTCCGGTAGGGCCTCAGGAGCTACCCCTCCTGCACCCATCTCCCCAGGGAGCAGAGCGGGGATACAGCAATGGTGGCTCTGGGCATGGAGCAGTGTCCGGCTGCCAGAGCCCTCCACTGTCAGTGGTGGGGTGATTGATGGCCACACTCTTGGGCTGGGGTTACTCTGAGCACCAGACCCAGCTTGTTCTTTCCTTTCCCTTTCCCCAGTGTAAGCTCCTGCTCCCAGGACAGGCCAAGGCGCCTTCTCAGCGTGCCCGAGCCACATCTGGCACCAGCTAGCTGCACATACCTCTGCTAAGGCTTGTCCTGCCCAGTGCTGGCTAATGGAAGGATGGGAACAGCCACCAGCCATGCTCAGAGACCACCTCGGCTCCAGGATCACCGCTGACAGTGCTGCAGTGCTACCACTTCCCCACTGCTGCTTGAACAAATAAAAGAGCTTGTCCAAGGGATGCTTGTGATGGGTGATTCCCTTCCCCACCTCCTCCTGCCTCTCTCTGGGCCCATTCTCCCACTGCTGCTTTCACCCTGGAATTTCCGCCTAGGGAAGAGGATGAAAACAGATCAGCTGCACACCTAGAGTGTGGGGAGGGGCGAGAAATCCATCCAGAGGCATACAGATCCCAGGAGGAAAGAGCAATGGGAAGGGGCTGGTGCAAAATACGATGGGACACTTTAGAGGATGCTCCTGGCAGGGTGGGGGTGCTCTGGAGAGCAGCATGTCCATCCCCCCCAACCACTCCCCACAGGGCTGATTGCCTGGCTGGGGGGGATGCAGGAGGCAGATCCCTGCAAGCACTTGGGGCACATCTGGAGGGCAGAGGAGGGGGGTTACATAGACCCAAACCCCAGCTGGTGCTGAGCCCCTCACTGAACCTGAGCTGGTGGTGAAAAACTCAGCTGAAAATTGCCTGTGAAAGCCTCCAGGCAGGGCACAAACCCACAGCTCTAAAGGGGCTCTTGTACAGCTGAGCGCTGGGGCCAGAAAGAGCAGGAAATGCCAGGAAACATCAGCA